CAGTGTTCCAGAAATCATTCACCTTTTTCTTCTTTCAGGTACCCTAATCTTGAAGCATTTTCGCTAGACGTCAGGCTTGTTTTTGACAACTGTGAAACCTTTAATGAAGATGATTCTGACATAGGCAGGGCTGGCCACAACATGAGGAAGTATTTTGAAAAAAAATGGACAGAGATTTTCAAAGTGAGCTGAAGTTACCAGAACTTTTTCTTCCTTTTTTTCCCTATTGCTTTTTTGTCATTAAATGAGGACTGATGAGACCAGCAATGTGAACTGTATTTACATGAAAGTGCAAGGCACATGCATAACTAATGACTGTTTTTTTCCTTTAAAATATCACAATTGTGATACTAGTTCTAAAGGCTTCACTCCTACAGCAACCATGGCCCCTTGGTTATTGGTTTGTGTGTTTTAACAAACTAATTTAGGTAGAACAGGGAAGCACACCCAAAGAATTTCAAAGAAAGGGGTGTTATAGTGCAATAGCAATTTAAAATATATCAAAACGCACTGAATATTCAACCACCAGAGCTCTACTAGGGGAAATGGTTCTTTTCCCTTTCAATAAATATCTATTTTTCATTTTTTTACTTTGTAGTTTATTTTTTAGTGAATGTATTTAATTTTATGAATTATTTATGATTATACAGCATTCAGAATCTTCGTTTTCTGTGAAAAGGAAGAACTAGAAAATTGCTTTAAATCTTGAAAATACAACAAGGAATGTTTTAAAATATAAAACAAAGCCAAGTGAAACTGTTTACACTGATGTGCTGTAAAAGCACTAAAAATTAAACTTTACTGTAGAGTTACAAGTACATTTATATATATGTTGCTGCATCACTTGTGTAGTTAAATTGTATTTCAAGACAGTGAAGAAGAATTGAGACATGTATATACTGTTCATTATTGTTTATATTAAGTCTTGTTTTAAATATGTATGATGTGTACATATTGTTTGCAGACATTATTGTTTATGCCTTAGGAGGACGGTAGCATTTTATTTTAGTCTTAAGGTAATTATGGCTATATGGGTTGTACAGTAATTATCCTCTACCAACACTGTGGAGTCTCCTTAATCTTGGTAGTGCCTGCCTTTAAAACAGGGTGTAGGGGATATTAGTTTTCCATTTTTCTATTTTGTTATATGATTTCAAGCCACCACGGCCTCAAATTCAAGTATAATCATTTGTATCCATGTGGAATAAAATTGTGACAATTTCCTACGCACACAGTATTTTTTCATAGAAACATTTCCCTCCATTTGCCTTGCCACAGAAATAACAAAAAAGACATTTGTAACCACTGTGTTTTATCTACTGTGTGTTGTGGTGGCCTGTTGGGCAGATAGATCAGATTTTATTTTTTTTTTTTGTACTAATGTAAGAGTACTTGAAGTTTTATTTAAAGAAATGTTGTGGAAAGGTAGCATTCTTTTTCTTTTCCTTTTTTAGGAGTGTTATTTTTCACTAGTATGTGTGGCACGGATACAATAAAAGACTGTTTTGCAAACCAGATTTTCTTGGCGATTTTAATACTTCAGATCCTGTATATGCAGGAATTTTTTAAATAATATCTTGGAAGTCTTGCATTTAACATTCAATTCTTATTATGATACTTCTAATTCTCCTGGCCCTTTAATGGTAATTCTAAAAGCAGCGATGCCAAGCAGTTAGAGTGCAGTTCAACTGCCTGTTAGAATGAACGTAAATAACGCTAACTGGGGCCTTCAGGTGTACTTGGGCTGCCTAGTATTTGACCAGTTTCTACCAGTCCTGTTCACTGTTACAGTCTGAGTGCAGGTGATAATGTAAACGCATGCCACATGTAATGTTTCTTAAAAACACTGACCATGTAAAGGTTTTGCCCTATTTTTTTTTTGGTCTGCAGAAGGGTGTAAGTCGTAATTCTTGCTGTGACTGAAGAAAATAGAAGAATTACAAATGAATGCTGTGGAACCCCAATGCCTATAGCACCCTCCCCAAGTAATGTTTCGGAGTTCTGGCTGTGGAGGTGTTTTTTGCTTTTAAACTAGAGTTTTTAAATCTTTTTTTATATATGCTCTTACTGTTATGCTTCTTGTCTCTGCTGAGAAAGAACAGTCAGTGTTTGGTTTCTAGTAAAATACTTGTTTCCGTTGCCCTCCCCAGAATATCTGGTTCAGTAATAGTTTTATTTTCTAAAGTCCTGCTGAATAATTTGTGCTACCTAGAGTAAAACAATTCTCATTTGGCTCTCGGGCATCTTGCATTCTAACATGAGCTCCACCACTGACTGCTTCACGCCTTTCCTTTTTCTGAAGACTTCAATAAAAAGGTTTGCCTACATGTTCCAGAGGTGTGAAGATTAATCAGTGTTTTGAGCATATGATGATGGTAGGCTTGTAAGAGTGTTAAAAGTATGCTTAGATTATTGGGAGAACTATTTCTTTGATGCAAAACAATTGATTTTTTTTTTTTTTTTTTTGCTCCCTCAGATTCTGTACTGGTTAATGCTTTATCTGCCATACTAGAGCTAGCACTAGTTCTCACAAAAGTCGGAATGTTACCAGCTACACTACATACATAGCTGCATTTTTTCAGCTTGTATCCTAACTCAGTCAAACATCTGGGAGAGTTTAGGTGATCACAGCTACTGTAGCTGCGGCAGTGAGAGAAGCATCACCCCTCTTAACTTGACATTACCCATGTATTGCTTTGTTCACTAAGAGCCAATTGTCTGCATTACTATTTCAGTAAAACTAAATTTACAGCGATTACTATATTTGAATGGCAAGCTTGAATCATACACATGCCATCAGCAATCTCCAACGAAAAGAGCAGGGATTTAACCACTTAACCACTAGAAAAGCTTGCTTAACTCTTCTTCTTTGCTGACTTTCTCTCCTGATGATGTTTCTGTCTGTTTTCTTAGAGGAAAAGTTTTCCAGTGTGCTCTCTTTCTGAATGAATGAAATGTGCAGGTCTTAGTGTAGGGAATTCATTAATGAGCTTCCAAACTCATTATTTTAGTACCCTTAATGGTGCTTAATGAAGAGTGTTCTGGTTTGTGAGTATAGGTTCTCTTTTTTTCTATTGGCATCTCTTTGAAAAAAAAGATGATATAAAAGCAGCAGAAAATCGGAAGTTGAGGTGTCTTGGACAAAGTATCTTTTAAAAGAAGTCTGAAGATTTTTCTTTAATCTTTTCACATGATTTTGGTAGTTTCCCTATGACAATTAGAAGGGCAGAGGTGTTCTGATAACTGTGAATGGGCACAGAGACCGGAGGAACAGTCATTTTGTATGCTGAATGGGTGGCCTCAAGACTTTGTTTATCAAATCTGTATCATTCCTGAATGTTTTAGTTCCCAAAATTTGCCTGCAAACTGAGGGCTAAAAATTGAAATCAGGAACACCACAATTATGTTATTTGATTATGTAACTCTTCTTGAACTACCCTGAATTCAGACTTTCAGTGTTAACCAGAAATGTTTACAGCTGGTATGTACATTTAGAAAAATTGTTTTATCTTTCATGACACAAATTTCTCTTGCTTGTATTGTCCAAACTAGCCACCATTACTAGATGTGATAGAAGCTAGATTCCTGGGCATGTTACTTATTCCCAGTGTCTTACTTAGCAACTAATTTCAGGTTTCTCAGCTGTAAAATATTATTGAACAGTCTTTCAGTGCATATGTGTGGTATTCACAATCCACAGAGTTTATGCCTGTGGTACTCATGATCAAAAGTCTACCGTCCCCTTCAGTAAGTCTCTTAACAATTGATACACAATTCTTTTAAAGTAATTGTTTTTATTTAGTAATGTTTAATCTTACAGATTTCTAAATCAATGCAGCACATATGAAATAGACCGAGTACTAGCCATCACCTAGGATTCAGAGTAATTAATGGGCACTCATCAGCCAGTGGATCAAACAGCAAGCAGTCATGTAACACCTATAAAACAGAATGCAAGATTGTACAGATTCCAACACGGAAGGTAGAGCATTTACTTGAAGGGAATGTTTTTTGGGCAAAGAGTGACTCCAAGGAAGTTACTTCATTTCCCTCAAGAAATGTAGGTATCATGATAAATCATTTATTTTGCATGAGTTGCTAAAGACGTATCAGGATGTGAAAATGGCAGTGATGTAAACTTCATCATGTATGCTGGGGCTGGGGAAGCTCTATGTGAAACCCCTTTAATTAAGCCGTTAATAGCAGGTAACTCCGCGTGTTCATTCGCATTCTCAATCTTCATTCACTGGTTGGAGCAGCAAGCGGGAGGCCAGCCCTGGCCTTGCACTCTGGAACAGAAGGCTGTGCAGGTGCACTGGTGGCAACCGTGGGAAGCATGGGTGGCCTTCCGTTCCACCAGTTGTGAATGGAGTCCTGCAGCCTTGGTAAAACCAGCCATCGCTTCTGCTTGGAAGCCTGTGGCCCTCCAGTGAGTGGCACTGTGCAAAGTTGTTCAGCTCTGAAGATGCAGCAGTACCCCGGAGCTCAACTGCACCGAGGCCATCCTCACCAGCTGCCTTCCTGCTGTACCCCCCATTCCTTCCTCCTCGGCCTGCCGCCTTCATCAACGTACTGGCACCTGCGAAGAGGCATGTGTCATACAGCAGTGTAATGCATCTCAGCAGATAAAATGGCTGCAGATGTTACGTGGATCTAGGCCACCGAAGCTGGAAAAGGTTTGGACAAGCGCTGTGGGCGCAGTGAGATAAAGCAACATCCCCGCCGCGGCTGCTCCTGTGCGGGCAATGGCGGAGGCAGCGAGGAGTCTGCTAACGCGGCAATGCTTCCTCCCCCTCCGGCCCTCGAGCCGTGGTGCAGCCCAGGGCAGGGACACCAGCTCGGGCTCCGCTACGCTGAGTAGCCGGGGGTGGGACAGAGGGCTGGGGAGGGTGCTGCGCGTGCGCTGGGCTGTGGCGTGGCGGTGCCGCGGGAGAGTTCCGGGGCGGCTGGCGAGGGGTCCTGCGAGAACTGGCCTCAAAGGGGAGCTCGAGGCAGGCCTGAGAGGCAGCAGTCCAGTGTCTCCTCAGCCTGGGCGGGTTCTGCGGCTGCCCCTGCGGAAGGGCCGCCGGGGCCGTCCGCGCAGCTGAGACAGGGCCCACCCGAGCGAAGCGCCGTGAGAGTCCGGGGTGAGGGACCCGCCGATTTCCGGGCTGCGCCTCCGGTGGGGTGGCGTTAGGTGGTGGTAGGGTGTCCGCGACGGTGACAGAAAAAGGGCTGTCAGTAACGTTGCTGTAGCTTGCTTTTTTTTTTTTTTTAATTTGTGAGTGACTGCTGGTGGCTCATGGGTTAGGAGAATGTTGTAATTGCTGAAGAAAGTAATGCTGTAGTGCTGAACCTCCCTCTGGTGGCAAATGATGCAGGGTCTCTTTGCTCCCTCAGCTAGTTTAAACGATTGAGACCTGAAAACTCACGTTGCTAGGTTTGCTTTTCCACAGGGAAAATCTCGTAACAGCGAGGTTAGGGTGCCTTTTCAGCCTCAGGTGCCTTTCCAGGTGTCAGGGTTTGTCTGACTCGTCTGTTTCTTAAAGGATGTTAGTTTTCCTTTTGCAGATGTTGTTGACATTGCTTAATCTCTTTAATGGTTTTAAAGAAAAAAAGATTGGGAGAATCCTGAAGCTAAAATAGTACTCAAAGATGTGATCTCTGACTAAACTGGCATGCTGTAAGCTGCTAGGCGCTGCCACCTGCCTTAAGGGAACAGTTACTTTGCACTTATAGGTACGTTTGTGTCTATGTGTGTATATAAACACGTGTGTGTATGTATGTGTTTATACATATGCATATTTATATGTCCACATATATATGGACATGTGTATGTGTATATTCATATCTAAACCCAAATGTGTGTGTGTATATATATCAAAACACACCTGTTTACGGTTGCATCTTTGAAATTATTGCTCAGAATAAAGCACTTAAATCATAGGCTGCTGTTTTAGGTAAGTTAACTCAGTATAAATGGTATTACTGCTTTTCTTCAGCATAGCCAACTTTCAGGAGTTGTAGGGTGTGTACTTCCTTATTTTCAGGAAGCTTGACTGATCTGCAGCATAGGGAGGAGCTAGTCGGAATGTACCTTTTAAAGGCTTTCCTGGACATCAGTTTTATTCTAAAGAATATATGCAGTTGTTTGCTCAGCTGTGCTCTAACAAGCAATGTTAAAAACAATGTTTTTAAAGGGAGTGTATGAAACTGTGAGGTGTAACTCATTGGGATGTATTCCAGCAAGCTCCTGATTAGAATAATTTCCAGAAAGCTTTTTGGTACTGCTTCCTGATTACTTTTTTGGGAGCCTATGATGACATACAAGTGTATTTTTTTGAGTTGTAAGTGGGAAGTAAGTACGTGTAAGTGTAGTATAGTATAGTTGCTAAAAATGTTTATACAGAAGTGTGAGATTGTTTTTTCTATATTTTTGGTATAGCCTATGCATTATTCTTGAGTCTAATTGATTTCCAAGTGATTTCTGCTAGAGCAATGGATAGCTGAAGACATTTCTTATAATAATGAATTAAAGCGAATAAATAGCGAACATTATCTTTGTTCGCTTCTGCAGGACTCTCCTAATGTTTATGTTTTCCTGAAAATATTCTGAACAGGCACCCCTTTATTTTGTGCTCAGTTACTCTATTTCTGTTATCTTCATTTGCTTCTTTCTAGGTGGCTCAAAAGTTTGTTAGTACAAGACTTACCTTTTTTTCTGTACTACACTTACAACAGTGGGGCCTTATCCTGGTTGCATCCTCTGTGCACACAAATGTTAAAGAACAGCAAAGATAAAAATGACATTGCTTCTTGGCAGTACAAGGAAAGCACTGTGCACACACCCAACTGAAATTTTTTCCAGCTGTCAGTTGATGTTTTCTGTCATAATGTTTGTAATCTTCTGCAGTACTCTGATAGGCTCTGTTCCCCCCTGCCCCCTAATCAGTAGTTTAGATTCCCATCTCTGTATGTGTCTCTGTCCTGCTGCTTTCTGTCTGTTTCTGGATCATTCTTTTCTCTATGCATAAGAATTAATATTGCTTGTTTTCTTTTTCACTCATTACCACCAAGAAAAAGAGAAGGCGTAGGTGATTAGGAGGGACCAAAAGCAGTGTCTTTTCAAGTTCCAGTAAAGCAACTGTGGCTCTGTCACTGATCTCTAGACCAGCCGTCTGACTTCCAGTGAGGCACTTCTACTCCTGACCCTTACTTACACTGAGTGCTCCAAAGCCTGCCTTTTTGTATTGGCTACTATATAAGCAGAGGCACAGCGTTGCTAAGAGAGGATCTAAATGTTCTTTTTAATATTTGGGTATTGCAGGGATGAGAAAATAACCTGTCTCTTCCTCCCTCTGACAGGGGTCACACGCTTAGTTACCTAACCAGATCTCTCCAGGAAGAGGTATAGCTGGTTGTGATACATATAGTAACTTGTTTTCACAAGAACAGGGAAGATAATAGAAAGGAAGGTGCAGTGGCTCTTTTCCAGCAAATTAGTAGCTGTCACATCCCAAGACTATACCTTACGTTAGCTTTTATTCATTGTTCTTTCTTGCTTCCCATAGCTATTAGTTCAAAATAACTCTTAGTCTTTTGAAGCAAAGAGTAAGTGAAATTGTCTGTAATTTGTGTTTCATTCCTAGCACGTGTTTGTGGCCTCCTCCTAGCTGGATATTTAGCAATCTGTTTAATGGGCTTAGGTTTATAGGTATGATGTGACATGTTTCTGCTAATTCCACACTTCACATTTTGTTGATGTGGATGGCTTGGAAATAGATCTAACTTTCAGTTAGAGAAGGATGGTTTGAAAGCAAATACAGAGACACCTCATAACTTTCAGCCTAGATCAGTAGGAAACCTTATCAGGCTTTTTAAACTTAGATCATATTTAAGAAAAATGTATTGCTTTAATAATCTAGTAATTAGTATACTTCTAATAATTGGTATAATAAGGTAGTGACCTTCTACGATGGAGTAACTGCATCAGTGGATAAGGGAAGAATTAGCAATGTCTACCTAGATTTTTGTAAGGCCTTTAATAAGGCACCATACAACGTCCTTGTCTCTAAATTAGAGATGGGTTTGATAGATGCACTGTTAGAAAAGTAAGGAGTTGACTGGCTGGCCATGTCCAAAGGGTTGCAGTCAACGGCTTAATGTCCAAATGGAAACCAGTAACAAGGGGTGTCCCTCAAGGGTCCGTACATTGACCAGTACTGTTTAATATCTTCATCAGTGCCATTGGTAGTGGTATTGAGGGCACCCTTAGCAAGTTGGCAGATGACAGAGAATATGCGTAGATGAAAATTCAGGTATGACCTGACAATGTGTGCTTGCAGCCAAGAAATCCAGTCATATTCTGGGCTGCATCCAAAGAAGTGTGGCCAGCAGGTTGAGGAAGGTGATTCTGCCCCTCTACTCAGCTCTCATCTGACCGTGGGTGAAGCACTGCATCCAGGTATGGGAGCCCCAGTACAAAAAGTCACGGATCTGTTATACTGGGTCCAGAGAAGACCACAGCAGTGATCAGAGGGCTGGACCACTTCTGCAAAGAAAGGATGAGAGCATTGTCCTTGTTCAGTCTGGAGAATAGAAGCCTCTGGAGAAAGGCTGATTGCAGCCTTTCAGTATCTAAAGGCAGATCGTAAGAAAGGTGGAGAGAGACTTTACCAGGGCCTGTGGTGACAGGGTAAGAGACAATGTTTTTTAACTATAAGATGGTAAACACTGGAACAGGGAAGCTATGGATGCCCCATATCTTGAAGTGTTGGATGGGGCTTTAAGCAACCTGGTCTAGTTGAAAATGTCCCTGCCAGTGTTAGGGAGGTTGGGCTAGATGATCTCTAAAGGTCCTGTGAACTCGGACCATTTTAGGATCCTAAGATTCCTGGTGCAACCTTAATTAATGCTTTGACTGTCTTGTACAGTGTCCATTTATTCCACTGTCCTCTAGTACAGATGCAAATATAAGTAAATCTAAACAGTGAACTTCTTAGTGTAAATTAAATAATCAGAATAACTTGTTTTGCTCTTGGTCAAAGATCAAGTAGCCACTACGTCATCTTGCATGTTGTACCACAAAATTGCAGCTTTGTATTAAAATTTTAGATACGTTGTTCTAACCAAGTTGTAAACCCCTCATGTCATTGCTGTGATGAATCTTTGACTTAAGTCAAAGGTAAAACAATGCTTAGATGGAAAGTGATTTGGAGAAAACTCCAGGAACAAACTTGCCAACAAAGTTTTCAAGTTGACAAGCACGTATTCTTTATTGCGGCGCCGGGAGACACACGGCATGTTAGGCTCCTCCTAATGTGTGTTCCCGTATTGCTATACAAGCCATCCTTATATAGTCCCTGGGCATACATACATATTCATGAGGCTACGTATAGATTACATTATTTTCCAGAAAGTTCCCTGCATGTGTACAGAATTGTGGTGGTGGTCTCTGAGGGTCATTTACTCCTTCCAACAATCTTCATCACTTCTGGCAGCCTTTGAAGCACGCGCAGTAGATGCTTATACCAGCTTAATTGGTTGTTTAGCACCACAGACATAATAATCTTCCTGTCCTCCTACTTATCAGTTAGCTTAACTGTAGCCCATCCTGGACACCTGCCATTCCCAGATACTCCTTATCCTTGCATCCTGTTCTTCTAGACTGTTTTTCGTAAAACTATGTCAACTATAACTATTTATCTTGTACAAGAATTCTCAGTGTGCTCTCTAGCTGTACTCTTATTTTTTTTCTATGTATCGTGCACCTCAGTAATTTTCCATTGCTACTGTTACAAAGCCATCAAACTTAACATTACTTAAAACTAATTCTAAAGCCTTATATATTCCATTTTGTGATTTTGTGCCCCCCCCCCCCCCCCCCCCTTGTTTCAAAAGTCTGCCTCTGCAAATGAATTTGTGTTTTGTTTTTTTTTCCTGGAGAATATGTGTTCTTAGGGTAGCATGTTTCACTGCTGAAATAAGAGAGCTAAGTCTAACTGTTAAACTTTTTTCCAGGTATTTTTGTTGAAAGTAGATAAAATGGCAACATTAATACATACTTTAACAGATCATAGTGATGATATCAACTACTGTGCCTTCTCATCATCGTGCTTGGCTACTTGTTCCTTGGACAAAACAATTCGCGTATATTCTCTGAACAACTTTACTGAGCTTCCATACTCACCTTTAAAAGGTCATACATATGCTGTCCACTGCTGCTGCTTCTCTCCATCGGGACACATTTTAGCTTCATGTTCAACTGATGGCACTACCATGATTTGGGACACTCAGGATGGTCGGATGCTGGCAGTGCTGGAGCAGCCCAGCAGCAGTCCTGTTAGAGTCTGCCGATTTTCTCCCGACTCCACCTGTCTGGTGTCGGGGGCAGCAGATGGGAGTGTAGTTCTTTGGAATGTGCAGTCATTGAAACTCTACAGGTGAGTACCAAATATTTCTTTGACAGCCTTGTTTATGATGACAAGAATATATAATTTATGTAGTATTATGCTCTGTGTACAGGCTTGCAACTCACACCACTGATTGATATCACGAAGAAACAGGAATAAGATTTGGAAGACCAAAAGATTATCCATAGGAGAGGGAGATGTGCCGAGTCTCTCTGATTTTTATTTATTTTTTATTTATTATTTTTTTTAAGTTCATGGAAGTGTTTTTCTTGGTTCAATAAGAAATGAGGATGCATTGCATACTGCATGTATTTTGTCAACAAACTGTAATATGTAATATACAGTTAGTCAGTGGAGCCTGACTGTGCTGTGTGCCTTTGTATTGCATTATACACAGTGATTTTTAATTAACGTTTCACACTGGTTTCCAAGAAATACTTGAAACAAAGCAGATGAGCATTATTAGTGATACTGCACAGTTAAAAGGTATGAACCTTAGGGTGATCTTCGAAGTAGTCTTCTACATCTCTGTATTTCAGTAAAATCTTCAGGTCAGTTGTAATCTGTACTTAGGCAAGACATTACTTAGGTTTTATGCAGCAATTACACAACATCTCTCTGAAGTTAGGTAAGAAATTAATAATTTGAGGGGATTTGTAGGATGTTTCGCTCAGGATGAGGGAGCCTCCATTTTGGAAAGCCAGACTTATTTGGTTTTGGTAATCCCTTTGCACACGTTACTGCTTTTATGGTCTCTCTCCCTTTGCCTTCCTCTCAGTGATTCAAATGGGAACTATAAAATTTTTCAAAATTAATGAGTATAGTTACCTGAAATCATGTAAATCTGGAAACCTGTCCGTAAACAGAATTTTAGTAGTTTTTTGCCACCTTGGCAAAAAATTTTTTGCCACCTTGGCAAAAAATACCATTGAAATGGTTGCTTTGTTTTTAGAGAATAAATGGCCTAAGGGTTTATTTATTTTAAGGTGTTACTAGTGATGACATTCTTTTTTTATTCAGAATACTTATAACTAACAGGAAAAACACCAGAAATATTTAAAAGTAATTTCTTACAAATATATGCTGCCTAAATCCTGAATTTCCTCCTAGTTGAATGGTGGGTGTATAACGACTATGTAGTAACTATATTGTTTTAAGCACAAATTATTCTATATTGGTGTTACCACTGTAAAGCAACAAGGAAGAACTTGAACATTCCAGTCCTGTCTTGTCCCCTTCACTTATAAAAGTTCATTTCAAAGTGTTAACACACCAGGAGTAGTCAGCTTAACTTTAATTGTATGTATTCTGGGATGTGTATATATGTTTTCAGGTGATGTTTTTTTTATTCTTGCTGTAATTTTTAATTGCAGATAAAGTACACCTGTCCCATTTTCTTAAAGCTGAGATCAGTATTACTTAGAAATTATCATGGTACTTAAAAATCATGTCAGAGGCTTTTAGTTAACCAGCTAATTTCATTCTGTGGTCCTCTGTTTCATTTACAACAGTACATTGTGTTCATGCTAAAAATGAGAACGCCTTTTACAACAGTGTTATGCTACTTGCCTGAATATACAGGTGGTAATTACTACAAAGGTATTCACTTACTCCTCATCAGCTCAGCTGCTGCAATTGACTGTTCAAATCATGAAGTCAGACAGCTATTTAAATCTGTATGGTGGATATGAACACCATGAAAGCAAGTTAGTTTATGGGTATTTCTTAAAGTGTTCTCTGTTTCCTGTTCAGTAGTTAGGATACTGGTATCTGGCCTGGAAGTCTTAAATGCATACTCTGAACATGTATAGTACTATGCATTTTACTGTTTCATTTTCAGAGTAGACTGCAGCTTTTTGTGTGAAAGAAGGAAAGTTTTAAAAGCTGCAGGAAGGAAAAGAATTGTACATATAAAACTGAGAAGCACCATAGTGTATTTTGTAGTGCTCTTCATGATAAAATCAAAGGAGTCAATCCTTTTTTTTGAAGGTCCTGGGTCTGGTTAGAGAGACCTGTGTAAAAGTAGTCCAGAATTAACCCTATATCATAGCTCAGAAAAGTCTTATGCTCAGCTGTAGTTTATCATATGGGTTACTAGGTGTTCTGTTTTGTCTTTAAAAACAGAACAGAGAAGTTATGGGAGTCTGTGTATATGTAAATCTGTGTTAGGGTAGTTGTGTGTTTATTTTGACTTTTAAAATTTATCCTGCCCACAGAGCTTTAACAGTGCATTGTGCCTTTCAAGTGGTGAGCCCATGCAGATTGTCTATAGTTCGATGATTATTTTATCATTCAGTTAAAGTTATTGCCCTGGGGTGTCATCTCACGTTTTTCCTCCTGCAGTCAAAAAGCTGGTCCTACTTTCTGCAGTGTGCTTATTTGCGTATTTTGCATCTGTTTCCACAGTCTTGAGTTCCTCTCCCTTCTGTTGCCACGTTCCAAAGTGCAAAACTCAAACCAGTTTGGCTTATTGTATCAGATTACATTTTAGAGATCACTTTTTCCGAACATTACTTACTCTAAATTCACAGTCAGTGTGCTCTTGCTTTTCAGATCTGGGAATGTTAAAGATGGTTCTTTGGTGGCCTGTGCGTTTTCTCCTAATGGAAATTTCTTTGTCACTGGATCATCGTGTGGTGATTTAACCATTTGGGATGACAAAATGAGATGCCTGTGTAATGAGAAAGCACATGATCTTGGAGTTACCTGCTGTGATATTTCTTCACAGCCAGTTTCAGGTTAGTTAATTGACTCTTTAGGGAAGGAATATGAAAAAAAAAAATAAAATTTCTCTCTAGCTCTTGTTTTCGTACTCTTTTTGTCATCAGTGCTCAACATAGAAATGGCATTGGGTAGAGCTGATGTTTTAGAACATTCAGAATATTCTTAAGTAAAAGTTGTGGTCAGGTTGATGACAAGGAATGTAGTAGGTCAGTAAACAAGGTGATCAGCATGCTCATGACAGCTTTCAGTAGCAAATTATCCTGTCAGGGTTCTGGAAGGTGTTTGGGCAGTGTCTGTAAGTGAAGCCGATCTCCCAAGGCTGACGAGGGTGTTAGAAAATGCAGTGCTTGATTACCATTCCCATTTTACTCTTTCAGACTTTGGTTCCCCCAGGAGCAGGGCTGGGTTAAAGCGGTGCAGAAAACTGTAAATCTATTAAGCAAATGCTTGAGCTGTGGGATGTGAATATAGGAGACTTTTCCTGCACCTGACTTTCTCAGTTGGAGGAACTTAGGGGAGCAGGAAGCCCAGAATCTAGTGTATCCCACTAAGGTGTGGTACTGTGCAAATATCCTACAGCTGATTTAGCTGATCTGTAGAAATTGCATTTCAGTTTTGTCATTATGTGCTTCTTCACAGCTGTGATTAAGCAAAATATTACTTTTCTTCTTTTGCGAATGAAATCTGATATTCTTGTATGTATTTGAGTATTGAGATCAAAAACATAGGGCATTCATGGTGTAGGCCTTTCTCAGGGTCACATTGTGTAATATGTTCAGTTTTCATTCATTTTATATTTGTAAGGCTTTCTGTGGAACTAAAGTACCTAGAACCTAGATTTCTCTACATGCCAAAAAACGTATACTGAAAATTGCATTTTTAAATTTCCTCTGGGGGAAAGCTTTGCATTTGTGTCTACAGACTTTTAAATTTGTTTGGTATAAACCTGGTGGGCAGCTCAGGCCAGGCAGCTGCTCGCTCACTCTCTCCCAGTGGGATGGGGAGAGAATTGAAGGGCAAAGGGAAACTTCTGCACAAACAGTAGGAACTTCTATTTGAAATATCATGGTAGAAGTTAATGTACATGAAAGTGTCATAACTGAATATCTAAATATTGAAAAATCTGAAATATTTATTAGAGTCTTAAAGGTTGAAAGGTTCATTTGTGTAGTTTTGTCAAGTAAAAGCAATTAATAAAGAGTCAGAAAATCACATATTCATCTGCTTTTGGTGGAGGTTGGGAGATTGAGCAGAAACCTCATCGTCAGATTTAGGAAGTAATGCTGTGACTTGACAGCCTTGTCGGTATACTTTCGAGCTTTCCAAATCTACTATGGAGACGAGGTGGTTTCTGTAAAGATAATGTAGGCTTCTCTTTCAGAGTACATGAGCTGCTCTTTCAAAGGTACCAGAAATTATAAGTGAGCAGCCACTGCAGAAAGCAGAAGTGGGGAAAAGTATTAGAAAGATGAGGAAATAGAATGTGAACGTGTACTTCAGTACAGAGAATTAGTGGCTGACAATACCAAAGCAGTCAATCGACTGAAAGGTGTAGGGACAGCACTGAATTAATCAGTCACAATAGAAATGGGTATAATCTGTAAATGTCACCTCCAGATCTTTCTTGGTGGAAATGCTGCTGGAAAAATTCCATCATGAACTAAGACCTGCATCTGAGGGCAAAGAAACATGTTGAAGCTGAACCACATCAGAGTGTAATTTCCAGTGCTCCCTTTCCTGTTGAGATTATTCTCTTGGTTTAAAAAATATGTTACCAAGTTTTCAACCTTCTGCCAAGACAGAGAGAAATAGGCAAGAAAGCAAGTATTTCCTACACTGTGGTTTTGTTTTCTTTTGTTTTTTAGGTGACTTATGATCATTCCTGATTTTATTTAAGACATATGTTACTAGAAGTCAATAGTTTTCATTTTTGTGTTTTGCTGTTTAATGACCAAAGGATTAATTCCAAATGGAATTATTGGCACATTACAAAATCCACACAAGTAGTGCTTACCCAGTACAAGTAAAGATGTTTTTAGATTGAGATTCTCTTTACCTACTTAATTCAGAGCAAAATTAGAATCAGAGTTTCTAACTGGTTCTTTGTGCTTTAGACTGTAACAGAGGATTCACCTACCTTTAAAGTGGATTCAGTCGCAGTTGCATAGAAGTTTATTGCATCTGGAGCAGTTCTAATGCTGTGTGTGCTTTCCCATTCATCAGCAAAGTTGTGTCTTCCTCCTGAATAAGTAAACCTTAGTGAAATTACCTGTTTTCAGAGTACACATGAGCTGTGATACTGGTCAAAAACTGGCAGATCTTGCTAAAATTTTCTTGTGTAGTCCTCCTCCAAGTTACCCAAAGAGCTGTGCATGTACAGCACTGTAATAACCCTTTTAGCAGGTTAGTAACTTGTAAAATAACGTCAAAGTCTGTGCATTGTAAGAGGATTCATACATAGTTCCATGTTTGGAACATAGTTCATACATAGTTTGGAACTTTTCATACATAGTTCCATTCATCCATAGTTCCATAAGAGGAACATACAAGGTCCCAAGTAACATGTTCTTAGTTACCAAGAAATGTGTTTTTACAACACAGCTAACGCGTGCTACTCATCAGTCTGTAAGACACGAATCTTACAGTGTAAAATCCTAGCAAAATGATGCACTTTGATGCTTTAACAGATTTCAGTCTTAAGATCTTTAAGTCTTAAGATCTGCCACAGTCGTAACTTTGATTGTTTCTGTGAACAAACAGGTCTGTGTATACTAACTAGGATTTTATTGTGATGACCATATCAAATTAAAATATACTCTATGTGGTGGAAAAATGAGATAAATCTCAGGTTATTTGGTAAGACACTTGACAAAAATATTTTGTCAATTCTAGTAACTACAGAGATGGAAAGATGAGCCCTTAAAATGTTTGTTATGTTTTTCTGATTTCTGACTGTAATCCTGGTGATTCTTACAGGAATTCTAAGACCTTGGTACTGGCAGAGGTAATGCCGCTGAAATATTTTCACAGTGACTTGTGACAGGCTGCTATGCCGGCTCCATGGAGTAGAAGAGCAGATTTAAATTGATGCAGGACTTAGGAATAAAAAAAAATAATTGATAATGGGCTGAAACAACGCATTTAGAAGATGGAAGTGGAAGATGATAATTCAGAAATATTCATTCCCTCCCTGAATAGGGAGGGAAAAGCTATTACTGTTGTATTTCGTCTTTAATTCCTTCAGTGTTTCTTGAGTGGTAGGCTGAACTGCAACATGACTTAATTTATAAAAATGAAAAGTTGAACCTCTAAAATTAGAAAATATCCTGTCAGATGTTCTCAAATTTTGTACATGCATATGTGATTAAGTTTGGGAACTACTGAATGGTGGAAGAAGTTGATATAACCATACAATTTAGGTTAGAAGACTATATTGGTGCACTTAGTAGATAAATCCAGCATTTGCCATCAGCCCAGTTCTCGTCCTTATGTACTTGCTGAGGAAACAGTGTAACAATGACACCTATTTCTTACTTTTAAATGGTTTTAGAACTTCTGCAATTCTTTTAATTAGCACTTCTTAAAAGTAGTAGTAAGATTAAGGAAATCTACCAAATTCCAGTGTAAGAATGCTGATACAGTTTACTGATATGCTCTTATTTTCAGTGCTTCTGAGTCCTATTAATATATTTGAATTTTATCAGATGGTGAACACGGATTCAGATACTTCCAGATGGCTTCGTGTGGTCAAGATAATCAGATCAAACTCTGGCTTATTTTGTTTGCAGATTTCCTAGGTGTGTATACTGATTTGTATGTTTGTTTTGTTTGTTTTTTTTTTTTTTAATATTTCAACATCTTAATAGGATTTGCAGCCAAACTAACCACAAGTTAAAGTTGTATTTTAATTGTTTAGCAGGAGAGCAGCTAAGGCATGCATCAGTTTGTGACATTTGGCCTTCTAGATTTTACTTAGTAATCTGTTTATCAATAATTGCAAAAGTAAAGGTTTCAAAAAAATCTCCTAATTCTCTCAAACTTAATGTTGTGATAAGCATTTGGTTTTAATTAGCATTTTGGTCTTTTGAGAACCAGTAACATTTTTACTGTGACCTTTAAGCAGGTTGGTAGGTTGAAACCTCTTAATCTCTCAGGCCAGGGAGAAGTTTCCTTTCATCTCTTAGTACATCTTGGCTCTTGAATAAGAGCTGGAGAAATGAAAACAGTGTTGGCTCCTGCTAAAACTGCAGTGTAGATGTGTGACAGATACATAGAGACGAGGCAGATGGCCAAAACCATCTTGAGTGCGTATTTTTTAATAATCTGTTTCATACATAAAACTGTAAGGATGAATATATGTGTACACATTTAATTCTCTAAGCCACTGGTAAGACATGCTAGGACTACAAAGTGAGGAAGTCAGAGATGTTACAATTAAGTTGTCTCTGTGATCTTTTATCCCCTTTTCTATAGGCAGTATGTCACAAAGTTAGGTCTTTGCAGCTTTATGCTTCTAAAAGCAGCTTCCCTTACACCTTTTCAAATGTGTCCATATGCAATAATTTACTTTTTGTATTTTTAGGTGTTGAATTAAAATATAAATGCACATTGAATGGACATTCTGCCCCAGTTCTGGCTTGTGCATTTTCTCATGATGGGCAGATGTTAGTTTCAGGGTAAGCAGTATCTTTTACTTGTTTAAATTTCATGCAGATGACTGTCCAGGTTCATGCTTCAGTAGTGTAAAACAGAACAGAGTTGGAGATTTCAAAATATATTTCCAATAATTAAGGAATAGTTTTGTAACCTCCAGAATTATTGAAGTGTTTTCTCAGTTGGTCTGTGTCTCGTGAGTGGTTGAGTTTGAAATCTAGCTCTGTTCTCTTGAATATTGTAATGATATTCATGATTTCCTGGTTTTGGGGCATTTATGCGGCCTTTTGGGTGGATACTCTAGCATATATTTAAAACATAAATCTACATTGCAATCTTACCATCTCTTTGGGACACCGTTTAGGATTTCCTTCTCACATACTTTCATGAACTTTCTAGAAAGTTAAATACCTGGAGAATTTTGTCTTTGATGGATTTGGTTGAAATTAAATATTTCTTCACCTATCCACATCAATAGTATGGCAACGGCAACATAAGCCTTTTTTTTTCTGTAAAAACTACATGACCGAGGTAACTGTAGACCTGTGGTTTTGATGTTGGCCCTGGACAGAATAATGGTTAAGACCCAAATTAACCATGATTGCTCAGTTAGAGACTAATATTATTACTACTAGTCTTTGTTAGAGGGTGACAGGGGAGTTGCCAGTGTCATTGTGAGGTCACTGTTATGTTTGAAAGACCCAGGAGGGTAGGAGTGATGGGAAGATTCCTGATGACTGGAAAGATGCAAATGTCACACTTCCCCTAAGGGCAAGGTAGAGGATCTGGCAATCTACAGGCCAGTCAGCCTAACTCCAGCCTCTGGGAAGGTTATGGAACAAATCCTGTTTCCCAGCACATTGTATCTGGGGAAAGCAGCAGGAATTGAACACGTCAAACAGCCTGACCAGTGTGCCTGCTGTGGTGAGAAAGCTAGTTATGTGAACAAGGGGAGAGCAGCATGCATTTTATACCTCAGCTTTAGCAAGGCTTTTGACATGATCTTCCAGTGTAGTCTTACAGCCAGATGAGGGAGAATAGAGATCAGAAAACTGGATCGTAAGTTGTGTGGAAAAATAATTGGACTGTCAGGCTCAAATAGTTGTTGGTGATCAGCAGCACGAAGATGAACTGTCAGCTTATTACTACTGGCTTTCCTCAGGGATCAAGCGATTGAAAGAGGAAATTATAAATTGGGTAGGTATAATAATTTATGATTTTATGAATATTAATGACTGTATACTTTTATTCTGCATTTCTCATGAAAAGTGCTTAATCACTTCTAAACTGTCTAAATGGCAACTGGAAATAACCAAAAACTGATTCAACTCAAGTTTTTAACTAAGACTTTCTAAACTGAAATGGAAAGAACTCACGTGTTGCAAAGGTAAAAGGAAAGAAGAGTGCAGTAACCAGCAAATAAACTTAAAACCCCAGAAACAACAGCTTGCTTTGATGTTTCGCTTTTGCATTCTTTTCAAGGGAATATTTCTCAGAATTTAAAGGTCATTGCGAATGTTTATGATCTAGAGTTATTTTATTTTGCATTTAGATGGATTATTGTTCTTGCTTATATTTTCATAAGTGAAATGTCTTATCCATAAAGTCTTTCAGAAACACTGCTGTCATGGTGAATAACTATGCAATTTATATTTAATGAAATCTTTTATGTTTTGATTGCATTGCACCACTTTATGTATTGCACTGCATTGCTTACTCTAGCTTGCTTCGCAAGTGAAATGGTTTCAAAAATAATTAGAAGTGCTGAGAGCAGGTTGTGGATAGCCAGATTCTGTGCATCTGCTTTACAGATACTGCGCATCTGCTTTACAGATATTGCTTGCAAAGGTATAAGAAGCTATGGTACAGACAGGGGAGCAGTGGAGTGGGGGCCAGTTTGCATAAGCACTGTGCAAATCCTGTACATCAGAAATTCTCATGGAAGTGCAGAGCTTTCATATTTACTGTTTTTTACATTATGCTGGAGGTACAGTTCATCAGTGGTGGTGTTTGAAGGTGGGCATGGGTGGAGAGGATTTGGAGATCCAAGGTTTCCATAAAGGGGAGTTAAGAAATCTGTTTGCTCTTATTTTGTTTGTGGAAAAGGTTTTCTCTTCCTCCTCTTACTTAAAAATTGGTTCCTTTTTCCTCTCTGCATCATTGTAATGTCACTGTGTTGGTTTGTTTGTTTTTTTTAAGGTCTGTGGACAAGTGTGTCATAATGTATGAAACTGTAAGTATAGCATACTGCAAGATCATTCACTGGATTCTTGTCTTTACATTATTAGCACTGCTTCTTCAGTGTCTTATCAGCATAAAGAAATACTAAAGACTAGAAACTATATAGACCCAAAATATTTACTGTGCATTTGAGGGGAGTGGGAAAGGAGCTTAAGGAAAAATGCCTTTTGAGAATTGATCAGTCTTTCTCACTTTTTATTTACAGTTCTTTGAGGGCTTTGTTATTTGATTTCTCTGCGGCAAAGTATTATTCAGTACTCTACTGGATTCCATACTTGCATGTTATTTCCATGTTGAAGTAGAGGATTTTTTGTGATCCTAACTTTATCATAGCTTCCAAAGCAAGAAAGACTGTAGCTTTGAACATAAAATCAGGAATGGTGGTCATATAAATTCTTTAGTTGATTATATATAAAGTGCACATAAACAATAATAAATCAAGAAAAAAATTATGTTAAATACCATGGCTTTAAAGCATATTGTTTAGGCATTTTCTGTAATACAGTTATTACATACTTCATTGGGTCACCTCTGGGTGATATTTACCTTTGGTACTTTAAGTACTTAGTACTTAAATACTTTGGTATTAAAAATAATAATTTTGCTGAAAACAGAGGATGAACAAATTTTAAGCTTCTCCAGCTTGCTCTGTACATAATGCTGTACTGATGAGTTTTTTCAATTAAAGTTTTTCATCCAAATCGCTAATTTGATACAGTCCCAATAAGCACTGGTGGGAGGAGAGATTTCAGTCTAAAATAGGGCATCTTCCCCATGATGGATGGCTCAGAAAACTGGAATGCTGACCAGTCAATTAGTGTTTCAGAATAACTTTGCTCGTCACCTTTCCAGTCATCTTCATGTTTCCAATAATTTTTCCAAGCATCTTTTCATAAGAAGGAACTTCTTTCAAATCATAAGTAAAGCTGGATTCAGAAATTTGGGGTTTAGTAGCATCTAGTGGACAAATAGGGGAAGCGCAGGGGTGATTTATGACTGGCCCAACTGAAGGACTGTAGCATGAAGTCTATTTGAATTTTAGTTACCTCTTCACTTTTGGTCATTTCTGATCCTAGATTTGTAGAGAAAATGTTTTTATCCACATGAGCAGCCAGCCAGTATGGATGGAAATAATTCAGTTGGTACTTCTGGCATTGGTATGCTGAAAGTCTCATGTTGGCTGATTGTTAAAGGATAGCAGCGCTCCCAGGAATTGCACGGGGGGCTTCAAGCAGGAGATTGAAATTGCATTTTGGATGCTGCTGCTCATAGCTTTGGCAAGGTTGTGCAGCTTCTCTGAAGGTAACTTCTGTTATCTTCCAAGAAGCAATATTATTCCTTATTTTGAAAGAAAATGTACAAATGAATAAACATTCTTTTTATTCTTCAAGATTTAAAATCACAAATGTTTTTTTACAGAGTACTGGCAATACCCTTTATACTTTGTCTCAGCATACCAGGTAAGAATTCGCATGAGTATTCTCTTTTACTGTTAATAAAAGAAATTTGGTTCTTTCCTTGTGAATTTTCACACATTTATTTTTATTTGTAGATATGTTACAACTTGTGCTTTTGCACCAGATAGTCACTTATTTGCCACAGGTTCCATGGATAAAACTGTGAACATATGGCAGTTTGACCTTAAGCAACCCTGTGCAGGTTAGTGTGAAGTATTTGTAATCAGTTCTTTAAATTTAAAGCACGATATTGGTGACTGCCTCCTGAAGATGCAAAAAACCCCATCTTTTCTCACATGCAGTTAATGTGTAATCTCAGGATTATGTGCACATTATGTATCTTTCTCTGAATTGATCTTACCGGTGTCCTACAGAGGTATTATCTTTTTGATCTTTTTTTTTTTTTTTCTGGTTTTGGTGGTTGTTTTTTGTTTTTTTGTGTGTGTGCTTTTTGTGTTGTTTTTTTTATTATTATTTTGTGGGTTTGGGGTGGGGGTTTATTACTTTTAGAAAAGATGTACTAGAGTATTTGAGTAATCTGCAGTATCTTCTGATATTCGCCATTTCTTACTCTTTGGACAGCATTTAAGAGATGAACATTATTCCCAGAGTGCTAAAAGATTTTTTGGACAAGTATCATTGACAATGAGTTAAAGGGAAAATACGCTAATTGCAAGCATAACTATCAAAAAGAAATACCGCTTACCAGTTGTTACAGGTGAAAATACCAGGATAATGAATGTTAAAATATATATCAGCACCTAAAGTATGTAGAACAAGGGTACCTAGACCTTTGTCCAAAGCACAGGATTAAGTGTGGACGTTTGTCTGCTTTTCTAAAGAGGCGTGAAAGTTGGGTTTAGTGTCTGCTGATGCTTTCGTCTTCTGGGTTCAATTCAAATTTGGTGGAAATGTGGGCATCTGAGAAGTTAAATTCCTCTAAATTTTGAAAATTGATAGCTAAAAGACAAACCCAAATTAATGTTTCTCCCTAACATAGTGTCTAAAGGCATTACCTTTAGGAATGTATAGTACTGCAAACACTTGAAAAAGTGTTCATTACTGCCGTTGATCCTAGAACTGGGTGTTTTTTTTCTCATTCTTGGTTTTTGGGGGGCTGTGGGAGCTGTGGAATGGTGGTGTTTGGGTTTTTTTTTAACTACCTTATCTTTCCTTCCCAAAGGAAATATCATAGAAAATGCATCTAAGGTGGCTGTTGAGGACTGGTCAGAGGATGATGTTTCGGCCTGGCTTTGTGCACAAGACTTAGCAGACTTTGTTGGACTTTTCAAAGTAAATAACATTGATGGCAAGGAACTACTGAATCTTACCAAAGAAAGTCTGATTAATGAATTAAAAATTGGTAAGAGTACAGGAATGCAAATAGTTTTAAATCTTTAGTATATGTGTGAAATGTTAGAATGAAATGTTGGTTTTCCTATCAGTTTGTGGAATTGCCATGTCTATAATACCATGTGGTCAACTATCTAGAATTTAGCAGTGAAATTCTGAAGTGTTCTGTAACCATAATGGAAGAACACAAGATGTGTTTTAAGTTTTACTTCTTTTGGAGATGAAGCATTTGATGCTGGCATTTAGTAAGGATTGAGTAAAGCTTGTCTGGCTTAGACAGAATTCTAGAAATCAACAGACATGCTGGGAATCTTTCAGGCATTGTCATCCACAAAAGGCACTTGACTTTATCAGTTTCTGCAAGCGTTTGCTTTAACATTAGAGTAACTTAAACTGTGTTGCAGCAGTCACCAGCTGGGGATAATAAAATAATGCTGACTAGAACGTCATTTGAGAGTTGAATGCAGTGTGACCAGTGATGAGAACTGAGCTACTGAATATAGCATGCTCTATGGGGAAAAAAAATCAACAAAAACATGTATTGCCTGATAGATTTGTAATGATGCTATCAAGAGCTGTTCAACCTCAAATAAGAAAATAAAATCTGAGTTGTGGGAGCTCATCGTAAGGCAGGCTATAAGATGCAAAGGACGGATGTGGCTTTAGGCAGAGCACATCTAGAATATGGGCTGATTATGGGAAGCTGTTGCTTTATGACTCTTTCATATGCTATAAAAGGATGCAGTGAGGATTGATTCTACATATGAGCTGAAGTATCTTCAGTATATTTTTTCCTATTACCAAGTCTAACGCTCACTGCTCAGTCTCTGTTCTCAAGACTTCGGTCTTTTGCCATGCTTTTCTTCAGTAGGTGCTTTAACACCCATTGTAAGATTATAGGATAGAGTTGGATTTTCACAAGTATCAGGTAGCTGTAAGTTCTGGCTGAAATTACTTACTGTCTTAATAAACGTAAGCAACTTCACAAATACGAACCAGCATATATGCAATGTGAAGCAGTCAGTTCCACTCTCATAGAATCCTAAAATGGGCTGGGTTGGAAAGGACCTTAAAGCTAATCCAGTTCCAACCCCCCTGCCATGATCAGGGACACCTTCCACTAGACCAGGTTGCTCAAATCCCTGTCCAGCCTGGCCTTGAACACTGCCTGGGATGGGGCAGCCACAGCTTCTCTGGGCGCAGCCTGTGCCAGGGCCTCACCACCCTCACAATGAAGAACAACTCCCTAATATCTAATCTAAATCTTCCCTCTTTCAACTTTAAGCCATTCTCCCCTGTTCTGTCACTACCTGCCCTTGTAAAAAGCCCCTCTTCAGCTTTCTTGTAATCCCCTCCTTAGGGTACTGTAAGCCTGCTGTAAGGTCTTGTCCTCAGAACCTTCTCTTCTCCAGGCTGCACAACTCCAGCTCTCAGCCTGTCTCCATAGGAGAGGTGCTTCAGCCCCCAACCATCATTGTGGCCTCCTCTGGACTTCCTCCAACAGTTCCACATTCTTCTTATGCTGGGGGCCCCAGAACTGGGTGCAGTACTGCAGGTGGGGTCTCATGAGAGTGGAGTAAACAAGGAGAGTCACCTCCTTCAAGTTGGTTAATTAATGGTTATATGAAAGGTGTTTTTAAAGACAAATAATGAAATATACTGGCCAAAGGCACCAAATCATTCAAATCAATCAGTTCTGAAGTGATGATAAATGCTTGTGATTCTGCTTCTACATATCGTTCTACAGCTATAATTGGCACAGAATAGAAATTACAGCCTGATATATTTGAGTTGAAGAATTGCTCTCTATCTGCCATGGCTCAAGCGTTTACAAACTAGGCAGGAACATACTATCTGCCTGAAAATTACATGCTTTTTGGTGTTATTTAAATTGCAGTTTAACTAAATTTTGAATGACCATGTCCTTTCTCTCCTTGATAACCTGTTTTCTTTGCTCAAAAAATCCAGCATTTACCAGTTCCATAAGATCTTGCCAAAGAGCTCTTGAGTTTTTTTATAGTCTTTGCAAAGGGAGGTTTCTTTGTTTGTTTTTTTTTTCTTTAGACCATTTTACTTCATGAATGATAGGAGAGTTTTTTCTTCTGTTATTTTACTAGCTCCTTATTTCTTGTTGTGTTAGTCTCTGCTCCAGTTCCAATTTGCTTTTAATAACACGTGTATCCTCATGCCTTTGAAGCCATTTAATCTAAGAGAAATCAGTCAGCAACTGGTTCACATAACATTTCGTTAGTTTCTTTGATTGTTTTTGACAGCTTTTTGAAAGAATGCTGCATTACCATGCAAACGGAATTAGCTTCTTTCCAACCTAGTTGTCATATAATATAAATACCACTGCATTAAACTCTGGAAGATGTTGCGCAAAAGTGAAGTGACAGTTATATACATTCTGGCTGAAAAGCTGGTGTACATTCAACAAAGTTCAGGATTCCCAATCCTGAACAAGCCCAGTGACACATTGCAATTCTGTGATGCAGCTGCGTCAGGAAAAAAAAGGAATCCGTATGCTCTTCTAATTCAGAATAGAAGGTGGAAGTAACATTGTTCCATGCCTGTCTACTCTTTTTCCTATCAGGCTAACTGCATGTGTTAATGTAAGGTGATTCTTGACTTCATTGTGTTTGTAGAGTGAGGGCAGGAGGTGAGATCTGGTCCAATTTTTGGAAAACCACACCTTCAGTTTAGGGGTTAGTGACATACAAAGTATTTTGTACTGTAATATCACAAATAGTAACGAAGTTGGAGGCATTCCAAATACTTTCCCTTCTTGTGCAGCACATTGAGCAGGTTTCTTTTTATGTTACTCTATCCTAATTTAGGTTAGGTATGTAAAGGGGACAGATTATTTTAAAGACACTTCAACACTTCCTCACTTACTACGGTGTGTCCCTAACATAAGCCAAGGATAAGTACACATAAACTGATTTTTGAAATCTCTGATCAGGCTGATTTTTCTTCTCTTCATCAGCAATGTGCTATCAAAATATGGAGGCTTTATCTCCCTCTCTTGGTTTTAAGATTTTACTCTCTGTACATACAAAAAGTATGAGTATGTTCTTTCCTGCTTCACAGCTTTATGAAGAAATGCTGGGTCTGAGAATGAGCTTGAAACCAACGTTTTGGAGCAGAATGTGAATCACTTGTGGTTTCCCATGCCTTACATGTATTCTGAAGTAGGAGTAAACGACAGGGGAATCGCTCTATATCAGTTAAACAGAAAATTGCACGCGCTTTGACTATACCAACAAAATCTTAAGTGTTCCTTTATAACTAGTTTTCAAAAGATAATGTGTTATGGGTAATTCTTTAATCCCTGACTAGAGAATTAAGCAGGAGGTAGTTAACTGAGCTGCAAACGGGATGCAATAATCTTTAATCTGTTTGCATGAGAGGAATTTAGGAAAGTTGCCCATGTGATGAAGACTGCAGAAGGCGCCCTCAAAATCCAGTCATAACTACAGAATTAGTTGGTTCCTTTTTTACCTTTTATGGTAAAAATATGCTTATTTGTTCTTGGTTCCAAAGTGGTTCCAAACTGATCTTACAGATTTTTACAAAACTGCCATGCAGACTTTTCCTAAGAATAAGCCTGAACTTTTATTGTATTTCAGCACTGTATTTCAATCCCTACATTGTTTTTATCTTTACATATTTCATAATACTTCCTAAGAAACACAGGTTGATTTATTTTCTTTTGAGTGTACTTTTCTTACTGTGACATCTTTTGTCTTCGCTGATTACAGCGACTTGCATATCAGTGTGACTGAGTTTATCCCGTTGCACACACTACTTGAGGCAGCTGATCAATTGCTGTAAATTGCAGTAAAGCTGGGAGTACTGATGTGTTAAGACCAGCCCACTTGGCAGTCTGCAGGCAGAGTAGAGCAGTTGGTTGGAAGACTGTTGTATCAACTCTTTATTTTAGTACTGAAGACGGAAAATTAACCAGAGTAGGAACTAGTATTTAACACCACTAGCTGGGAAGTTGTGACACATCACATCTGCAGGTTTCTTGGCATAAAACAGTTCTGAAAAGGAGGAATGTTTTATGCTGCTGCAAGATGAAGATTGCTGGTGTCTGGGATGCATTTCCAGTCTTGACAGGTTAAAATCATAATGTGACAGTTACAGAACTATAAAATTGCTTTTCTCACTGTCAGCTTTCTTTTTTCTCTTCCACTCACAATTAGGTCGGAAAAAACAGCTGCTATCTCAAACATGGGCACAGCTCTTTTTTTTTCAGATTTCCTTACCCTTCTAACAGTGAATCCATTGAAATACCTAATTCAGAGAAAAGGCTCTTGTGTGGTACCGTCCTAAAGGCCTTACAGGAGTCCAGGCAGGTGCTATCCGTAGTTCTTCCCTTACTTGCCAACAGAGTCATAGAATGCCACCGGATTAGCCAGGTGTGATTTGCACTTTGTGACATAAATATGACCCTGTGCCACACTGCAGGGCAAAACTGGTCCAAGGCTGATGAGTTCTCACACCAGTGGTTTGGTGGTAGGTCATCTTCTATTTGATGGGTGTTGGTTGTGTACTACTATACCTTCATACTGTTGTGTATATAGTCCAGCTTCAAGGGAGAAATACTGCTGCCTTCTGCCCCGTCTCAGTTTTGCTTACAGTTTAGCTTTGCATATACAGGAGTGTGTGTGATTCTGTTATGCATCCACTAAAATGCAGTTCTGCCTGGGAGCCAGATTTTTGCCGTGATGTTTCACTTATATTCACTTTGCTGTTTGTTTCCATTAGCGCACAGACTTATCTTGAGCCAACAGGAGTGACCTTCTGTAGCTGAGCTGTTCGTAGTGGTGGACAGGGGTGTCTGCAGACTTTCCTGTGTTAGGTTGGGGTGGTGAGATGGAGTGCAGTCTCGTGTAGCACAACTGCCGGTTATTTCAAGAGCTCTTTGCCTTACATGTCTGTGTTGTCCACTTCATGTACCAATAACTTTCCAGAGTCTCTAGGCTTGCGCAGGAAAGTCCTCCAGAAAATTGAAGAACTGAGGATGAAAACAATTTCTGTTCCCATTACAATCCCTGATGAGTTCTTATGTCCTATAACAAGGGAGCTTATGAAGGATCCTGTCATTGCAGCAGGTATGTCTTTAAACGACGCTGGGTAAAGATAGGTCTGGGAACACAAAAATGGGCATATCTATCTTGCCAGTTTTAGAAAAACTATTGTAAATAGCTGTTGCAACAAAAAAAAACCCCTGTGGTAAATGTTTAATTTGCAGTATTAGATTTTTCATATGGTGAGAAACACTGTATCAGGCAATTTGCTCCATGGCAGCTCTACTGAGGAGGTTGTACAATGTTTTTTTTTAATGTGATGTCCTCTATGTGCTTTTGTGATTGGGCTTGGAATTCTGTTTCAGAATTGTCTTGGTAAGTGCAAAGTGTAATTGTGCACATGGGGGTGGGGGTGTAGAAGCGAAAACCAGGCTCGTACTACTTGTAGTACACTATGTATATGGCACTTCAACGTTTGTACAGAATGAGATTTATTTACATTCAGCGGGACCTTGGAGCTGAGAGATGCAAAGAGCAGAACATGTTCTTGTAGTCAAGCACTGTATGCAGTCAAGCACTGTATGCAGAAGCAGTGTTGTATAGCTCTGACCTTGGGGGGGGGGGGGTTGATCATCAAAAGACCAGTACATGTTTTTGATGCTCTGTAAGCAGTGGCTGACTTCATACTGTTTTGAGGTTTCAGGCCAGACTTTTGAGATTTAAAACATTAAAGATATGAAAACATTTGCTAACTGCTGGAGTGATAAGCACTGCAATTAACAGTGCTTGACCTCTTAAGCAGTAGCAGTAAGAAAAAGGACAGACTTGAATATCTTTTTTTAAATATAATTTTGAGGTAAGGGTACATAGTTTTAGAGCAGGACGGGTTTGTTGAAAAGCTGTAAATCTTTGCCAGACGCTATTCCAATGTGTATTAGAAAAGCAAATGGGCATTTTGAAGAGAAACTGTTGAATTTTAAAGTGAAATGTTCAGAGTGTCTGATCAATTCTAGTATTTACTAACTAATAAATAGTGCCTGCGTGTCATTCAGCATTCATGTCAGCAGTATGATTCCTATCTCGAGACATGGGATTCCTCTGCTTTTCTGAACCAAGGATGGGCACAGCTGGGAGTGCCACACTTGTTTTATGGACCTTAATGAATAACAACAGAAACGCTAGCAATTGCAGCAGAAGGGTTGGTTTGTGGCAGGACAAGTGAGGTACAGATATTCACTATCTGGCTACTTCACTGAGAAGTAAATAGTGGCCCAGCACTATAGAACTGAAGCACCTGTAGTATGAACGCAGCTGGCTTTAAGCTGTAGGCAGTTTTGCAGCTTGAAATTGGAGGAAGTTAGATGTGTTTGCCTCTGTGCTGTGTAAAATTTAAGGAAAGTAAGTAAAAAGGTAGAATGCCACACTGCATGTTTCTGTCACTCAGGTGACCAGCACAGGTAAGAAAGATTTTTTTCCCCATGTTAAGTGTCTCATATTCAATAAAAGAGAAGGAAGTAAGAGCGTGGCGCTGTTGTTGGCGGCAGGGTGGAGGACACAGGTTTGTGATTCATCAGAGGTGTTTCTGCGCAAGCCTGTCTGTAGTTGTCTGTTCTTTACTAACAAACAGCTGCTTCTGTGTGGCTGGAAGGGCTGAAGTCCTGAAAGTGTGCAGGTGCTGAGGGCTGAGTGCCCAGCTCGGGCTCGGTGGCCAGCTGTGTGCAGCTGCATTCAGTGCTGAGTACTGCACAGGAGCAGTACAGATGCATTAGATGGATGTTAGTGAGCTTTTACCTCACATCACAGAGCATTTAAATGTAAAAAGGCTGAACACATGCACGATGCAACTTGGTGCTTTGCACTCACGGTCAGCTTTCAGTGTCTTTTTGCTTACTATAAAGGGTTCCTGAAGGGAAAATTACTCTTTAAAAGTTACTCAAGAACTTCAGTTCTAGCTAAATGGAAAATGGAAATGTTTGTTTAAATTGTGATCAAAATCTAACAACAGTTTTATTAGCCCAAGGCATACATTTCAACACCAATATGCATTTTTGGTAAAGCACAGTTTTATGTTTATTTCAGGGTGTTTCCCTCCCTCCCTCCCTCCCCCTCTTACGGACTCTTTTTCTAAACAGAGGCTGGTTTTATTTCCAACTGTTTCATGTGCAGTAATTGTTCAGTTCCCTTTCTCTTTCCTCTCCCCTTGTCCCTAACTAGCAGACACAAAGCTGGTGATACATTTTTGTAGGTACTGGGACAGGGGGAGAACATCACTTTCAACTGCTTGATGAGGCTTGACAGTGTCTGGGGTGGTGGCTTCAGCATCACTTAGAACTAACGAGCAGATTTTTCTTCTTCAAAAGGAACTTTTTTTCAGAGGAGCTGAGCAAGCCCTAGTGTTGCAAACACTGACCGGCAGTGCAGGTTTCTGGCTACTTCTACTTCACCTCACTATTCCAGTGCTTCTCGCTTACACATGCATGGCTACAGGCACAGGACCCTTTGCAGGCAGCTCTGATGATATTTTTATAGCCTTGCAATGAACTTTATCCATACCATCTATAATTCCTTAACTACAGCTAAGGACACAGGAAGCCTTTATGTAATTGCACTGTTTACCACTTGCTTACCTTAGTCACAAATACATGCACGTGCATGACTGAATTCCATGATCTTGTCAGAGCCACTCCCTTGGGTGGTAAAGGGGCGGTTTAGCAATTGTGGATGGCAGATTTGCCTCTGCTACCCGCAGAGGGGCAAAATGCCAGGGCAGCCCAAATCACCATAGCAGCAAAACATCAGTGTTCCAATTCAGAAAAGGGAATTGACATTTTGTGTGTCCTTGTTGCCCCCACCCCATACTCACAGCCAGACCTGGCTTCTTGGAGGAAGGTTCAGGCCCAGCTACAAGAATCTCTCACACATACATACACTGCTTTAGAGGCATCCGTGAGCTGATAGAGCTGTAACTGGCTGATAAATTTGCAGTGTTTTCTCAAAGAGCTTGTACTTGTTAGATTGCCAAAACCAGTGTCATTTAAAAAGTTGAATCAGATTTTGATCTTAATACTGCTGTATAAAGTTTTATTGTAATACATTTAACTATGTAATTTGAAGCAAATATGGGCTATCGTAAAGCTTTCACAAACCATGTAATATTTCTGTATCTTAATTCTCCTGTTTGGAAATACTGATTCCCTTACACCCCTTTTAAATTTAAATAGTGAAAATCTGTGCCATGTGACAGTGCCCAAGTGTCTGTAATACCAGCTTTTGATTATGGTTTCTTTGTAGATGGCTATTCCTATGAAAAGGAAGCAATAGAAAACTGGATCAACAGTAAGAGACGATCTAGTCCCATGACAAATCTTCCTCTCCCCTCTCCTATGCTTACACCAAACAGGACACTAAAAATGGCAATCAGCCGCTGGCTGGAGACTCAGCAGAAACATGTGTAAACCACCAAGTTCTGAAGTCATTTGTTCAAATCAGTTGAAATGAAACTGTATGTAGCTAAAAGAAAAAACTGCATCAGAAACAATGGGGGGGGGGGGGGGAATGGTGTTTCTTTTCTCAGCAGTGGCTGTCATTCAAATGTTTGTTAGAAGGAAAATCTTCACTGTTGGAAGCTCCCAGAAAATGACTGAAAATCTGTTACTGGTAATTTCATTTGGTGGTACTTCTGGTTTTCAAATAAAGTTTTCTTACAATTTCATCACTTTTATGAGTTTTGAGCCTTGATTTTGCCAAGTTAGTCTTGCAGAAGGTAAGAAATAGCAGAGTATATAAGCTGTAAAATTTAAAAACCAAAAATGAGTCTTTGTCTATTCCGTATTCCTGAACGTGTAGCTAAAAAAGCTGGAGAGTTTACTCTGTAACCATCAGCGACTGCATCTCCTCCCACACGTGTATTAATAATCTTTATTTTGTATGGAAAAAATACAGTAGCTGTGCAAAAATAGAACTACAGGACAAGACTAATATAGGAGTTGTACAAAGTATCAAAGAAACAGTAAACAATAAATAAGCTAAAGCATAAGGATGCAAACTCAAAAAGAAGTTGTAAAAGGGGCTACGGCTGTTCACAATGTCCAACACTGTCCACGAACAGGATGTGAACTGTGCCTGGCACACTGACCACTCCAACCTACCTGTACTCACAGGGATGGCACTACAGCTCCTTGTTTGCAGAACGATCTCACCGATTTCCAACCTAATTTTCTCTGAGAAACTTCACAACTTCATCCTGTCACACAGCTGCGCGTACACTTTTCCTAAAACTTTCATCTTCACCAATTTCGTAGGTTTCCCATAAAAACAATTCCTAAAGATTTCACTGCTGTACCTTTTTCCACAATAAACAATAAATCATTTTGTTTTAAGATAGCACCCAAAGGTGATTAGATAAACTATATATAAAGTGCGATTATTGTTAATATGCCATAATATTGTGTTCTTCAGTGCAATAACCAATATGGTCAAAGCCTTTCAATACACATGCAAATGTCACCGTTTATTTTACTTGAGTTCTTCTAGTTACTAAAAATAGTTATATTTACATGTCCAAACATGGCCACTTATATTGTACTCAGACACAAATTATTTATGCTTCCTAAATGTACATCATGCAACCCAAATTAGATCCCACTAGAAAAGTGATAAAATACTATCTTTGATTTAAAAAAAAAGCATACATATACAGATCTGAGTATTATGCAGCAGATTATCTTTCTTAACACTGTTTTGAGAAGTAAGCACTTAAGCATTAGAGAGGCACAATTATTACGTAAGTAAGTGGTGAGATGTAATATAACCAGAGATTAAAGCCCTATGTAAAAGGAAAGTCTTACTTGATGGTAAAATAGGATGAAAAGGCTTTGTCTGTGCGAGGGCCTAGCGTGGTGGGTAGGTGATCGTCACGGACTCTTTTCACACAGGTTTGCTGTTCCAGTTACTGTAACTGTCCTGTGATGGTAGGACCAGTTTGAAGTGGTTGTAGCCCATTGAAAACTGGCCAACATGGACTGCATATTCACAAGTGACCAGCCATCAGTACTTTGTACAGAAGTAATACCCTATGATGTCATGAGCCAAGTTTTACAACCCTGTAAATATACACAGTAATAGTTATACATTTGATTCAATGAATGATCGCTTTGGTTTCGCAGCCGTGCCATGGCTCAGATGGCCTTCCTTACTGCTGTGAGGCTGTGATACCGCATCTGGGTATAAATGCGGTGCCTGTTTAGGTGATCTGCTGTCTTGACAGTGGGTTGACATTTGGCACTTGAGCTCCTCGCGGTCTTTAGCTTGCAGACCATTCTGGCTGCTGTCACCTGGGGCAGCACCAGTAGAGGAAATTTTAGTTTGGTAGTGCTTGACTGGGTACTGCTCGAAATTGGAGGGCTGAATGCCCCCAGAAGCAACATGAGTTGATAATCCCTCTGATGCCTGAGAGTGCCAAGTACGACTGGACTGAGTATTTTGCTGCTGAAACCTTGCAGTCTTATCCATGATCCCCATAAATGGGGTATTGCGAGGTCTGTGTTCAGCAGTACTCTGAACCTGATGAACGTTACTCTCCTTGAGTCGAACATCTGGGCCCAGCCCCTTAATACTATCTGAAAAACTACTGGCTGAACTTAAGCTGCTGGTTGAGCTGGCGAGAATCATACTACCAGCTGGAGAACTACAGGGGACAGGACTTTGCTGCCTTGCTTCACTGAAATTCATTGGAGTAGAGGCTGTCAACCGGTCGGCGGTTTTAGACTTGCTTGCAAAAGAATGTGAGGACAGATTCTCATTATGCTGTGAATGGGAACACTGGCTGGACACAAACTTCTCATTGTACAGTTCAGAACTAGGACTTGCAGAAATGCTTCCGGATGATAATGTGCCTGTCCCATCCAAATGCTGAATTTTACAGTGCCGGACTGGCAAGGGACTTTGGGGAAGATGCTGAAAAGATGACTGTGTCTTTGCATTACATGGACTGCTTCCTGGTTTTGGTCCAGGCTGGATGGAGCTCAGGTGCTGATTAGTTTTCACAATCTGTGCCTGCTTTGTTGGCTGCATGATCAAGCCTGGCTCTCTCAGGTATTTACTGCCTGTTCTGCTTTGAGGGGACACAGATCTAGCTTTCTGCTGAACACCTTCTTGAAGGGTCCTGCTGTATGATGAAGCAGCTAAGGAACACTGCAGCCTTTGTGAACAGGAAACAGATTCCTCAGGGTGTGACAGTTCATCCTCCCTGTCTTGAAGATTAAAATTGTCATTCACACCTTGTATGATGCCCTCTTCCTCATTATCAGAGTTGTTAATTTGCTGTAGTAGCTGTGGAGACTGATGCTTCTGTTGCTGTGTCCTCTGGAACTGTTTGCATTCCTCTTCTACTCTAGCCAGGAGCCGTTTTATCTCTTGATTGCTGGGACACAGCTGTGTGGCTTCACGCAAGTCAGCGAGAGCGGCAAGTAGCTTTCTGTTTAGGGAAAAAGAAAAAACAACCCCCAGTTAAACCCAATCAAAACCAGGGGCACATGTAAGTCTCAGCGTTGCCTACAATTAATTCACACCCCTGACTTTCAAAGGCATATTCTGATCTGCCATCTCTGGATGTAGCTGGTGACAATGTGAGAATTGGATCTTCTCCAAGCCACAAAATTCTTTCCTATGGTGGAAGCGCAGACCCAGCCCTAAACCCTTCCCTGGTATCTCAACAGCTTCTTGAGGAAGGCAGCAGCAGTCTGCTGCTAACACTAGGAACTGATGCTTTGTCTTGTAAATGCTTCACTGTTGCCTTCTGAGCAGGTGACTGAACTCTGCTTCATGAATAAAAGGCACCTCTCCCTAGACTTCAGCTATACCACTACAGTTTGCTGTTTCTCAAGCTCCCCTTGTTTTTATCTTGAACTGTTGATGATTCAACATATCCTGTCCTACAGAAGCACCCAGTAATAAATCATAAATAAACTCAATAATAAGTAATGCAGTGCTGGAGTTTGGTGGCACACTGCTGCCAGCATTCTGCTGAATCACTTGGAGTAGCAGTCCCGTTTGCTCTTACACTTAGTCCCTCTGTATCAATTTGTTACTTCCTGAACTACCTGCTGTTTGCCCAAAAGATTATTCAGTATTGCTTTTCAGGGCTGAGTTGGCTTTAACTGATACTGAGACCTAATAGAGATGGAAAGTGCACAAGGAAAAGAACTTTTTCTCTGCAAATTCTAAATACAACTAGTGGAAAAGACAAGGAGCTACTGAAGGTGTTAGGAAGATGCACATAACCAAACAGTACCTGCTGTTCCTCTTAGCTCTTGCTCTAGCATAATAGGCTTCGTAAGACTTGGGTTTCAGATCCAGTGCTTTGGTAGCGAACTCTTCAGCCATACCAAAGTCCTAATAATTTCAACAAATGTACTCATTATACAGTGACAACAAAAGAAAGGTGCATGCCCTGTACTCATGGTACTGCTTCAGTAGTGTGGATACCTTATGCAGTACAAAGAGTCCCTTTATCAGATAGCAAGAGCAGATACTTTCTGAAAAACTGAGAACAGACCTCATCTTGCTACTCTTGCCTCTCGTGTTTAAGGGAAATTGACTCCAAGGTAGCTAAAAGCAGTGCTAATATAAGCAGGATACGGTTATCTTCAACCCACAGACGTTACAATGCTAGAGGAGACTTCATGTTTAAAAGAAAATAAACCCCAAACAGCAAGGCTTTCAAATGTCTTTTGAAAAAAAGGCCAGTTAAAGACTTACAAATTTAGAGAAAAGCAAGAAAATTCAGGAAATGTTTTAGCCGAGTCCGGAGCTGCCTCTGACAAGGTATGTAAAATTCTGAAAGAAGAACTGCACTGGATGGAATTTATTTGGTCTTCATTTAACAAGAACACAGAGTAAGAGTTCAGTAAATTGTTGGTTAGACTGGAATTGACAAAAGCAGGGTTTAAACAGAGGCAAAGATGGCTATGAAGGCAGAAGCAAGCCTAATTTTTCTAACAGCCATGGACGGCGCAGGGCGTTCACAATACTGAATTATATGGAGCGTGAGGATACAGGAGGTTGGGAAGTATTAACACCAAAAACCCCTGTCCTGAGACGATATGCAAGAACAGAGCAATATGATGAACTTGAGTTTTAGATGGAAAGTGATGCACTTCAGGGTTAGCAAAATGCAATGAGTTTATCAGTGGGATAGGGTAAGGAATGCACACACACATTAGTTGTAGTAGCGGTAGCAGCATTTTCCATTCTGTCTTTTCAAAAAGTACCAAAACCATCCAGCAGTTTGTCCTTCCAAAATAACCGGATTTCCTAAGAAGAGCTGTAACAGATCCCCCACAGCAACATGACCTCATCTTATGAACTGTCCCCATTTGTTGACACAACAAAGCCCAGAAGCAGGATACAGTGAAAAGAATTCTAAAATAGCAGAAATAAATGTCCCAGGTACAAACTCAGTGATGGAGTAGAACAGAAGCCTAAGATTCCCTATGCCGGAGAGGCAACAGATGAACAGTAAGAGCTTAGAGCTTACATTTGTTTTT